TTGATTTGTGTGAAAATATTTTTCTGAAAACATTTTCATATGAAAAAATTCTCTCATATGGTTAAATTTGGAAATATTTTCATACCATTCAGTCTTAGTATATATTTTCACACCAATTCACAACTAATCGATTTAAAAATATTTCCACTCTTGACCATACCAAAGAATTTTTCATATTAAAGTATTTTTTAAAAAATATTTTCATGCAAACCAAGGTGCCATACGAGTCTAGGATCGCCATAGGTGCACCCACCAATGATTCGAGTACCTCAATATTCAATTCAAACCGGAAATCTGGTGGATATTTATTGCGTAGAGAGTAGAGGATTGATGGCTTTCATCGAGGGTGTTTCTCTTTGGAGAACCAGGTCAATGATGCTAATTGATATATAATAACTTCTGGGCCTGTAACTTTTGCTTTTTTGTTCGTATGAGGCCCATCTTGGCTTCTTTTGCATTCAGGCATTCACATTGTAGCAGTACCATGCACCATTTTGGATTCGATTTGATCCAATAATTAGCAAAATATCCTCGTAAGTTCAATGTTGGTGGTCCTGCTGATTTTGCATCTGTAATTAAATATATATTTAATATTTTTTTATGATATCTAATTTTTTCGTTGATATAGAAACTTATTTTGTGTGTTTATAAAAAGTTTTTTTTATCGATATATAATCGAGGGACTAAGTGCATAATACTCACCCAAGGTCTACCTGAATTTACTTTTTCTCGTGGAGACGCGCCTTGCCTCTACCGCCGAAAGCTCCGAAAAGTTCAGTGGTAAGCAACTTTGAAACACAATATTATACTATAATATATTACGTTATATCAAAAAGACGAATATGCCCTTGGGAAGCCATGTGAAGCCTTTATATATTTATTATGTAATGCAATGAAATGAAAATTCAATTTTAAAAAAAAAAATAGTAAAAAATTCAAATATTAAAAAAATAATAATAATAAAATTATATTATATAATATAATAAAAAATTATTTAATATATAATTCTATTCAACCATGTTATATAATATATTATTATACAATATATTAGAAAAAAGTTTATATGGAGTCGAGGCTCTAATCAATCAAATTTGAGCTTACTTCAAAAATTTCACTAGAAGATGTTGTTTTAATGTCTAAATATCTTCAAATTGATCATCTCAGCATCAAGATGCATGGACATGAAAAAAAAAATGGATTTTAAGTTTTGGAAATAGTGTCTTTTGTAATGCATTTTTGGACCGTTAATTTTCAAGATTTTCACGTTTTCATAGATCTGTCGATCTACAGTTAGGTAAGATTCTTGAATTGACAAGAAAATTGCTACAACATTTATCATGTCCTATAGTATTTATAAATGCATCAACTAATTTGTTAGGTATGATGAAATAGAAATTTCAAAATCATAACTTGAAACACATGTGAAGCACGTGTCCATCGCTAGTTCATATAATTGAGGGAATGGGGAGGGAGAAAAGTGAATAATATAAGGAAATAGGGATGGAGAAAATAAGGGACCAATTTAGAACTTTGCTCGGGCCTAACCCAAAACCGAGTTATTCGGGCGAGTCGGAGTGGACTTGCTCAAGCAGTAACCATTTTAAAAATAAAAATAAAAGCAAAAAGACAAAAAAGGGAAGGGTAAAAGGGGCCTTTGGCCATTTGCCCAAGAGAGATGGAGGGCACTGGGCACCGAAAAAAAGACTTATAGTGATTATTTATCGAGGGAATATATATACTATAGTATATACTATATATATNTATATATATATACTATATAGTACTTCCGTACTTACCTTACTTTTAGTA